CACCGCAGGTACATTCCGTGCTACTGCCTGCCATTTTGCAGATCACAGCTTTTGAGTGTATCCTAGGTTCCTGCGCACTGCTGGGTTCTGTTGTTCCTCGAGACGCATTTGCTGCAGCAAAATTACGTGAAGCTGGGGCTATATTCATAGGAAAAGCCAACCTCTCCGAGTGGTCTGGTATGAGAGCTGCGTGGGGTCAACTAAAGGGACAAGTTCCCAATGGCTTATCGGAGCGTGGGGGACAAACTCTTTCGCCGTACTACCCGAATGCACATCCATCTTCTTCGAGCTCGGGAAGTGGCGTTGCGACGGCCATTGGTTTAGCAGCCGGATCGCTTGGCTCGGAAACTCATGGTTCTATTGTCTCTCCAAGTAGCAAGAACAATATTGTGGGCATCAAGCCTACTGTCGGGCTGGTATCTCGCTCAGGCGGTAAGGTTTTTAGGATGGCTACCGATTCTCTATCTAATGATGAACATTAGTTATACCTATCTCATCTCATCAAGATACTCCTGGCCCGATGTGTCGCTCTGTCGCTGATGCCGCCCTATTGTTGAATTTCATGGCTGGGCCTGATCCTCGAGATGAAGCTACTTTACACCAGCCAGGGATAGTCCCAGACTACATGAAAGCGCTCGACAAAAACGCCCTTAAAGGCGTTCGTCTTGGAGTGCCTCGTTCCTTCATCCGTGATATCAAGATAATTGAAGAGGTGTTCAATTCATCTCTTGACGTCTTCCGAGCTTTGGGCGCGGAAATCGTTGACCCTGCAGATTTCCCGGATGTAGAAGAACTACTGACATCGAAGGCGGAGAAGCGGGTACTGGACGTGGACTTCAAAGTTGATCTTAACAAGTACCTATCGGAACTTGTCCACGTTCCGACAGGCGTCAAGACTCTCGCTGGTCTGATAGAGTACAACGAGAAACGCGCAGACCTAGATCTTCCACCGCCATTCTACAGAGATCAATCGCAGTACGTCGGCTCGTATCTTATACACGATATCCCTTTACACAGGACATCTAGATTCATCCAATCGGAAGCTGCACAAGTTGATGACGCCTACCTTGCAGCACTAACCGAAGATTTCGACTTGGGACAGCACGAGAGGAATTGATGCCACTCTGGCCCAGTTTAATCTCGATGCCATAATTCTACCGACCAATGCACCGGTGTGGAAACCCGCAGCAATTGCAGGGTATCCATTGATTTCAGGTTAGTACTTCTTACTGCGATCTCAATGCTACTTGATGTTATCCGATATTTAGTGCCCCTCGGATTTCAGCCTGATGATGTTGAATTGTTACCCACGACGCCATCCTCAGTGTATACGCAGGCCCCAGGACTTCCTTTTGGAATTGCTTTTATGGGAACCGCGTATAGCGAGTTTAAGCTCATCAGCTATGCGTATGCTTTTGAGCAGGCTACCCACGTGAGACTTCAGAGAAGGGCCTATGACGCTGCGATTCCCAGAACCCAATTAACGGACATTATATCCCAGTTGTGAACGTGGCTTTAACATTGTACACTGTCATATGCATCAAATAAGCGAATTACTTTGCATGCATGCATTCTGGACATCGATGCACAATGCGTGTTTTACTAGAAATATTCGTTTCACTGTCTGCTTAGCGTCTGAAGCACTGGTTCAGGCGCAGCGACTTTGAAAAGAACTACCATTTCCTTGCTTCCTTCCTAACATTCTATCACCGTGTTCCGCTGGTCACCGCTCCTAAGTGAGCAAGCCCTTGCATCTATCCTTGCAACACACACTGACCACATACGCCAGAACAATGTTGGTAAGAAGTTCTTGCGCATGTAAATGGCAATTTGAAAGGTTCAAGCATTCAAACTAGCGCCGGTATACCTCGAACGTCGGATCCATATGTGGTATCGATAGCTCTTGTTCCACGACTCGCAAAAGCAGTTTTGTGCTTTCACTGGTTCTCCATGGGCCATTATGGCCTGGGGATATTTTTGGCCGTGGACCAGAGATATGTATGTGGGACTCGGAACTGTACCTCAATATTGGATCTTGCTTTTGTATTGGCTGCTGGCACTTTCCTGCGATGAAGACAGTTCCGGGTCTCTCTACTCTGTCAACTCTTGATTCCCCAGCTGGGCGGCACCAAAGTCATCGTCGAGGTAGCTTCTCCTATAGAAGGGGCCAACAAGTGGTCCGGTGCCTTTGTCGACGCTGTTCGCACGAGTGACATAGCTTCAATCTGTCGACCTCTTCCACGAAACGGGCTCCTGGAGCGATCATGTTATTGCCCTTATATGAAATCTTCGCAGGCTAAGAGGTAAAAATGATTTCAGGCACCTTTGTGACGCACGACTCGAGGCGACTGGTCTCACAACTCTCCAATTGAGCGAGAAGGCGCTAAACTTAGCGCCTGCTCGTGTCGTACCGCTTCCGGACCTATCGTTCATTTCACCTTCGAGACACTTCACTGGGAAAGGTAGCGGGTAATCCCAAGCGGCCCGAGTCCCGAAGTGACCTGGAAGGGCAGCATGCTCTGTTAACACGCTGAAAGTATTTCCGGTCCAGGTCCTGGTGCAAACGTATTGCTCCCTGTATGCATGCCTCTTGATATATGTTGATATTCTTTCAAGGCTGGCATCTTTCGCAGTTGTCCGATTTTCAACAAAACCTGGGAAGAGAAACAGTATCTTCCTAGCGGTGATCCGGAGATACTTGTTATTGGAACTCGCCAGTACTGCTTGCGAGCTACTGCACATTTGAAATACATGGGTGTGTCTGCCTTGGTGATAGAACGTGGTGCGTGGGTGGGAGACAATGTATTTTTGCTTCTTCAAAATTCTCGATCTCATTCAACCTAATTTTAATCAGACGTCTTATTTGAGTCTTTCGCTAACTCATTGTTACTCATTTTACACGCAGATTTCCTTTCACCTGGCCATATTTCAGCCTTGCGTCGAAAGTGAGTCTCCCAGTAAGCCTTATTAAAGTTCATTCAGTCAGCTTGGTGATTGGTTTGAAGGTTACGCTCACTCTTGGACCTTGAACGTCTAGCCATCGTCTAGTATTGTGGCAACAATCTGGGATGACGCCACAAATTGGGATGTAGTCATTGATCGTGGGGGAATGTCACATCGCTATCAAGCACATTGTCCTGGCCACGGCAACAGCATCCCCCGATCCCCAGATCTTGATCTTGATGGGAAGATACTTGACGGGTCTATCGAAAGACCAGCCACTGTCAAACGAAACATCACACAGAATTGCTATTCCGGTAGGGTGCTTCATATCGGAATACAAGTCTGGCTCTGGCTATGTTGGTTCGAAGGTAGCTGCATGCAACTCAGGTAGGATTTCGATGACATTGCGAGGCGCATAAATGATCAATTCTATGTGATGACCCTATTTTCAGCGTATGAAGTTTAGGAGAACTTCCAGTATATCCTCACGTTCACCCTAAGCAGTACGTTTGTTGTGCCGCGTCATGCGTTGACAGCTGGACATGCAAGTAGACATCATTTACATCCTCAGCTCACCATAATTATTTACTACGAGAATAGTCAATTGCAATTACGAGTTCCCGATGGAGTTTACTGATCTTCTCGGGTTCCTGTTCAATGCAAAAATCGATGACACAACGCACTACCCCCGGGTAGTCGGGACAACTGATAGGTGAGTCATACTTCGTCCTTCGGAGACATCGCGTGCTTCCACGATATTTGATATAATGAAGGGCTTTGCTCGAGGGGCTCGAGCGTGTTGGATTCCAAACGAATCTGCCCCCTGAGGGAGTTAGTCCTAGTGCCTTGGTTTACGAACGCGGGGGAGGTTTCTATATCAGTACGCTCTCGCGTACCTAGAGCGGCAGAAAGAATTACGTATTTCCCCGCAGACATTGCCAGTGTGCAAGCGATAGACTCAGATGGTAGCATCAAGTAAATTGGGTTGGGCACTCCACTACGCATTGCCTGACATTAAATGGTGGAATGGGGGATCAAGTCGACGTAGTCATTTTGCCGCGGGGTATGTGCGCTGTTCTACCGGAGGCGAAGGTTCCCGAGTGTAATTTGCAGCCTTGGCAACGTGCATGATAGCGTGAGGTTGGTGTGTAACAAAGAAGTTGGGCAGAAAGTCGGGCCCTTATTTTGGTTGGCAATGAAGGCGAACAACGTGGTGACTGGAAGCATAGCGGACACGAGGCTCTCTGGGTTGCGGCCGGTTACGCGACCTCATTAATAAGGAATCGATCTTGCATGCTTACGGGCACCAGGAAACCTATCACAAGCACGCATTCGAAGCATGCATCCTAGCTTCACATGAGCCACATTCTATAGGCTTCTCGCGCACGATCTAACAGAGATTAAAGCGCGCTTGAGGTGCTTGTTCAGGCGCGAAGCACTCAACTTTTAGGTTAGGTTCGTGGGGTGATCGTCACCGGACAAGCGCATTTTGGGGCAACATCCAACCCCCGAACCCTATAATATTTTCTCATTTTAAGTTGACATTACTCCACGTTGTGTGTCGCCTCGTATCTGTTCGTGATTCATCGTCCGTATTTCACAATTCTCGTGAGCAGGGCATTGTGCGAACTAGGTTGCGGATCAATCTGAATGTTCTAATGTCATAATTTCCCATTCAGACGTTGCTACTAAATATGACCATTCTCATCATGATGTAGCGGCGGCACTAGTAGCGGATGAAAGGGGAACTAGACGTCAGGGCTCCATCCTGCTCCATCGTGATCTATAAACGTGTCGCGGCAGCAACATGATAAGGGCTGATAACACCCTAGTGTCGCGGCACTCTTCATAACGAGCCTTAACATATCCTTGAGAATTCATGTCCTATGGGCGTTGTCGATCGACGGAATGGTGGACGTACTGAGGGAGCGAAGAAGATGCCGTGGGAATACAGAATGCACATATATTTCCGAAATTAATTACGTCCGCCCAAAAAGTAAATTAGGAAATATTATTATAAGAAACTAGGATTTCCATGTTCAATTTGAGCTGTGTAACGACGTCCCTGTTAGCCAGCCAGCCAGGTAGTGCCTTGCCTAGCACGTCCTTTTCTTTCTCTTTCTCCGTGGTCTCAATTTCCTGTGCTTCTCCTTCAACAAGTAGGGTGTACTCCCTTGACTGCTTTTCGTCATGAGCGTCCTTGTACCCACCAAGTTTCCTAGCGTCGCCGCTGTCATGCTTGCCTGCGTTGTATCTCTCGTTTGCCTATTGCTTGCACGCATATTGTATTCCTTTATGCGCCTCTGGTCTTGTCATTCTCTATCAACAGCGTCCGACGAGAAGACCCCTGCCTGGTCCTCTTTGTTGTCACTAACCAACACATGGAGTCGGTCTTTGCAGCATGCTCTCCCAGCATCACTACCCTTTTCGTTGACCATCCCGGAGAAACCATCACCTGAAGTTGGCACAGGAGCAGGCGTAGGACTTTCGCATAAACGTCTGGAATCTCTTCCCGGCAATTGGCATTTGTGTCGACCGGGTCCTCCACCACGTGAGCCAGGAATTTCTATCGGTTTCTGTATTGCAATGCTAACTATTTCATTATAGCACCAGCCGTGTACCAAAATCCTGCGCCTCTCTCCATGGCAAAGCTGATCATGTCACGACACGTATGCAGTGCTTTTTCATTTGGTAGTTACGATCACTGACGCCTTGCGCAATTTAGACCTTTCGCCGCCCCAATCCAAACCGTCCACGGAAATTGTCTACCGCATCCTCGTCCCGCCCGCCACAGCCTACCTCCCACCTGTTCCATTCCATAGCATAAACAGAAATAATATTTCAATTCCCGCGCCAAAATAACACCGGATTTTAGGCCCTGTGTGTGGATGGCCTACATACTCTGGCCGGAAATAACTTATACCTCACCCACGCTAATTCACGAACAAATTTCAATGGACTGGTCACTCATAGTCCACTGGCATGAGCCCTGACGATATACCACGGTATCTACGTGTTTATTTATGATTGGACTTACGTAACTCAAGGCAAACAAGACGAAGGACTGACAAACGGCTTTTTCACTTCTATGTACACACTGGACGTGCTTCCGAACTTTGCTTTGCTTATACTTTTTTTATACTTTCGATCCTTTTATCTTTTACTATCATTTAGTCCTTGTTCCGTGAACATATCGTTATCATCCCATACTAGACGGCTCGCCGTTTGTCGAGGACCCGTATACGTTCACATGCCAAGCAAAATAACATGTTTCCGCGTTTTCCGAACCACATGGAGTCAGATACCTTGATCTTTCGATTCGTTGGTCTGTTGGATCTGGACAGATACATGGTCACGGTAGACGACACGCACCCAACCTGCCGCGGCAGTCACGGACCACGGCCCGTGGCAGTGCCGCCAACGTCTTCAAATTTCACATTAATGTGGATCAAAACGTCAACCCGATGTTCACGCAAGCCGGATAGTAAACATATCCGAGTCGATAGTGTTCGACCGTGCCTTTGCGGCGCGCCAGGCCAAACGAAGGCTCAGCGCTCAGCATTGCCGCGGTCGTCCGTCCTACTAGTAGTCTCTAGATCAATCAAACATGGTCCTCGAACTTGTGACTGTGGCAACTCCCTTTCTTACAAAACTTCTGGTCTCGGGGCTGGGCGCCGCACCGAAGCCCATCTTGCACTCGTGACTCTAGGAGTCAAATATATCTCTAGTCCCATGTCCAGGGTCTAGGCTAGCTGCTAGGTATGGTACGGTAGAGTCTCGGAAGTCCGAGTCGTTTATCAATGGAAAATAGTTCAGATAACGGTGACTGTGTGTCTGACCCAACCCATTCGTTACCTCTCTAGATCTCTTGGCGTCTGCCGTGCACAATACCTAGAGACATGCCCAATCGCGATGTGCTCTCGGAGAACGCATTCCCTGATTTGTATGAATCCGGAATTGCCGACCTTCAGAAGGGTCTTGAGTTGAGGCACTTTACGAGCGTTGATCTCATCAAGGTAAGTTACTAATAACTAATTGGTTTATTTCATGACGATTCACACAAATACAGGCTTATCTTGCAAGGATCGATGAAGTCAATCTGAAGGGCGCAGCTCTCCATGCAGTCATCGAGACGAACCCGAACGCGTTATCTCAGGCCGCAAGACTTGATGCCGAGCGTGAGTCTAAAGGGAGCAGAGGCCCACTGCACGGCATCCCTTTGCTACTGAAAGACAACATTGCTACACTGCACGAAGAAGGTACGTAATTATCGACGATGCGTGTTCAGTATGCTGATCCTCCTGAAGGGATGAATACTACCGCTGGTACGATATCCAAGAACGTCTAGTTCTGGGTTAAATATTTGGCGAGATTAGGCTCCTATGCTCTCTTGGGTTCCGTCGTTCCAAGGGATGCATTCGTCGCTGCAAAGCTCCGCGAGGCCGGCGCCATCCTTCTCGGAAAGGCGAACCTTTCTGAATGGGCAAACTATCGGGGCAAGGTTCCAAACGGCTTCTCAGGTCGTGGAGGTCAGACTCTTTGCCCCTATTACCCGAATGGGGATGCATCTGGGTCAAGCTCTGGGAGTGGGGTTTCGATGGCCGTCGGTCTTGCTGCTGGCTCTTTGGGCTCAGAAACGAATGGTTCCATTGTTTCCCCGAGCAGCAAGAATAATGTGGTGGGCATAAAGCCCACTGTGGGGCTGGTTTCTCGAGCTGGAGGTATTTACTCTTTCAATCCTACCTTGACAGTTGGTTGAGTTCCTTTAGTAATACCTATCTCATCGCATCAAGATACAACTGGACCCATGTGTCGGTCGGTTACAGATGCAGCCCTTTTGCTCTCCGTTATAGCAGGACCAGATCCTCGAGACGAAGCCACGTTGCAGCAGCCTGGTATTCTCCCTGACTACATGAAGGCGCTCGATCTGAACGCTCTGAAAGGCAAGCGACTGGGAGTGCCGCGGATGTTCATGCGCGACGGTGAAGCATTTGAAGCAATTCTGGAAGCTTTCGAGGCTTCTTTAGATACCTTCCGGGCTCTCGGTGCGGAGATAGTAGATCCGGCTGATTTTCCCAGTGCCGAGGAGATGAAGCAGTCGCAAGCAGAAACACTCGTGCTGAAGACAGACTTCAAGGTTGATGTGGCCCAGTATATTTCGGGGTTACTTGAGGTTCCTACTGGCGTAAAGAACCTCGCAGATTTGATCGAGTTCAACAATACCCATGCGGACTTAGAGCTTATACCACCGTACCATGACGATCAATCTAGGTGGGTTCACGAGCTAGTGGTGCTGTGGAGTTTCTCACTCTGCCACAAGGTTCATTGATGCTGAAGCAACGGAAAAGAACGACGCGTATTATGCAGCTTTAGCTGAAGATTTCGATTTAGGCCGGAGACGAGGCATTGATGCAACTCTCCAAAAATTCAACTTGGACGCAATTGTTCTTCCTACTGATGGTACGTCGATTATATACTTGTATCAATTTCGGGATCTCAAATTTCCTTAGGGATCGCCTCAAAACCTGCAGCAATTTCCGGATACCCCATAATCTCAGGTGCGAATCCCCATTTTCATGACAGTTCATTTGACTAAATCACATGCTTAGTTCCGCTGGGCTTCCAGCCAGATAATATTCAGGTATTGCCAGCTCCTGCTGCACCGCTGCACACACAAGCTCCAGGCCTTCCGTTCGGGATAGCCTTTATCGGCACCGCATACAGCGAATTCAACCTTATTGGCTTCGCTTATGCGTTTGAGCAGGCTACGCAGGTCCGTTTGAAGAGAAGGGCATATGCTGAGGCAATTCCTACGACGCAGATCAAGGATGTGCTTTCTATTTGAACAAGGATGGAGTATATGACTAGCACGTACAACAACTATGTACTTTTTTGTTTTTCTAACTATACTTAGGTTAATCGTGATTTCTAGGTGTTGGATATGTATGTAGTCAAATGAGCCATAACATCAGTGGTAATCCGTGGAACAGATTTCAAGTCAGGCGTAAACACCATGAATCACAGGATTCATCAAGCCCGAGGAGACGCCAGTCATCTGAGTCCTATGCCATCTGAATCTATATTAATATTGTACACGAGGAGATGTCGTGGTGGGGCCCGTAAAGGACTTCGCCGAGACTTGCGGAAGCGATTCACGATCGAGGACTCATCTTCATCTTCAGCTTCCAGATCAACACATGTTGAATTATCACCGGAGATCAGTGATGTCACCTGAACTCGGTCGAATCTAGGCCATACTGAGTTGTCATGGATCGAGCAGCCGTTTGTGTCTTTTACATATATCAGGAGCAGAATGACGGAAAGAAAACATCAAATTTTGGGATAATTACGACTAGCAATTTGCTAGCGCTAGGAGTATTTCATCCCCAAATGGCTCTAGCGGAGCTCAGCTATAGTCATTTCTTCATTTCCACATGGGTGAGAACGGACCCTGATTAACGTTTAGCAGTGTCAAAAAGGTGCTCAGCGATACCCCTATGATGGCGGACTCCTCGTGTCACTCCTCATGCAGAACGAACGTCTTTATACCGCTTATTGAAGTTGACTGCAGGAGACTACGTGTCGCCTAACGTATGTCATGTCAAACGAGATGGAACTGAAAATTACTAGGTGTTCTTCCGCCAATAGAATATTGGGGACTGAGCAGGTAAAATCTGGGATCTGTTGGCAACCAGCTGGCATTGTAAATGCCACCTGTTTGAAGGGGCCTTTCAAATGGATAGGTTCTGCACGGAACAGAGTATTCAGGACATAAAGCAAGCAGCCGTCCGGCGTCATCCTACCTTCCCCCGTCAGATTTATTTTCGAGACCCTAAGCCACATCTCACAAATAATGCGTTTCTCCATCATCCTGGCCGTTCAATTTGCTGCTCTGGCAGCGTCAAAGTCTCTCAGTGCTGACAGTGACTGTGCCATCTTTTGCGGCTCAACTGCAGATTGCTGTAAACAGCGACTGATGCGGCCCTCCATTTTCTGGCGAATGGCCTGGCCAGCGTGATCGGTTTTGTATTTGCGGTGCAGGATTGCACTGCATGGCCAACTTGCCAGGTGAGACGACTCGGAGTACTTGGGCTACCGATCGGTATAGGTTCGAGACGAAGCGTGCGCAGTGCCCCCCAGCTACGTGTAAAATAACAATTCGATATTGGAAGAAATGCTTAATTAATAAAGGTTTGAACGATAACATCATCTGTTCTGTATGGAAAGCCGGACAGCCGCGCTCTGTTACCACCCGTGACATGGGCCAAAAATGGTAGTCACAAGTCGAGGACTCCGTACACCTCTAAAGAGATTAATGCGATCGACGACCTGTAGGTTCCATAGTGTAGCGCGGCTGTCCGGCTTTTTGTCCTGCAGTTACAAGTGTCATATCGTGACGGCGCCGGCACCAGCCCCCAACTCGCTTATTCCTGGCATGTTTTGTGTCCATCGAATTAAACGCAAATTAGTAGTCTTTTTATTTCATTTTTGGTAAATGACTGCTAATCCCATGCGATTCTACTGCCAATGCATGATGTTCTTCGATTTTTCAAGGCCTATCTTGAGTAGTCATATACATAGCTAACCGTTTGGCACCAGAACAGATAAGAAATCTGCTCTCTTGTGGTGCGGGTTCGAAACCTGTCGACATGGACAGTTCTTCGGAGGTTCGTCTAAACTTGGCCAGCAAGTGTCCTGGTCCAAGTGTTCAACACAACAGAATCAAAATTTGTTTCTCTTGTACTGCGCAGGTTCGAAACCTGCCTAACAACCGGTTTTTTTTCTATCGGAACACGTCTTGAAGATTCACTCATGGACAGTTCCTTGGAGGTTCCTCTCAACTTCGTCCTTGCCAAAGCGGTTACCACAACGGAATTAAAATCCGTTTCTCTTGGACTACGCAGGTTCGAAACCTGCCTAACAATAGGGTTTTTTTCTATCGGAACACGCCTTGAAGATTCACTCATGGACAGTTCCTCGGAGGTTCATGTCAACTTGGTCCTCGCCAAAGTGGTTACCACAACGGAATCCAAATCCGTTTCTCTTGCACTACGCAGGTTCGAAACCTGCCGAACAACAGGATTTTTTTTTTCTATCGGAATACGCCCGATTCCTCGGAGCAACTTCGTCCCTGACTGAAGTGGTTACTGCAACATAATCAAAATCTGTCTCTTGGACTGTACCAGTCAGTGCAGGTTCAAAACCTGCCAATGAGTTTTTTCCCCACCTGAACACGCCTTGAAGATTCACTGATAAACAGCTCCTCAGAGGCTCATCTCAACTTCGCCCTGGCCAAAGTAGTTACTGGAACGGAATTGAAATCTGTCTCTTGGACTGACACTACCAGTGCAGGTTCAAAACCTGCCAATGAGTTTTTTTTCCATCCGAACATGCCTTGAAGATTCACTGATGAACAGTTCCTCAGAAGCTCATCTCAACTTCGCCCTCGCTAAAGTGGTTACTGCCACGGAATCGAAATCTGTCTCTTGGACTGACACTACCACTGCAGGTTCAAAACCTGCCGACGAGGTTTTTTTCTCTCAGAGCACGCCTTGAAGATTCAGTGATGGTCATTTCCTCGGAGGTTCATTTCAACTTCGCCTGGCCAAAGTGGTTACAACAACATAATCGAAATATGTTTGTGTCGGACTTGCGCAAGCTCGAAACCTGCCGACGACAAGGTTTTTTTTCTATTGGAACACACTTTGACATTCACTCATGGATGGATTCCTCGGAGGCTCATCTTAACTGATCTTAACCAAGTGGTTACCCCAACAGACTCAAAATCTGTTTCTCTTGCAGCTGGCTCGAAACCTGCTGACAACATTTTTGCAGTGTATAGATCCTCAGAGTTCCGTCTTAACTAGTCCCAGTCATTGCGCCGAAACCTCCTTTTTATGTCATAGTCTGTCCATGAAATAGAATTCACCTTCATCCCTCGTGCGGATCGTCTCAGAAACATAATGTATATCCCTGAGATGTGTACGTGCCAACCTAGATTCTCGATGGACTTACCAAAACTGTCGGGATTCACCACCAAATGAAACATTGATGGAGCTGGAGGCCAGAAGAATGCACTCAAGCTAAGGACAGAGTGAGTCTGACGGTCAGGCAGATGATGTAACCTCCCCAGCCTCGCTGAAGTCTCATCGATGAACACTCCTTCGATCGTTGGCTCTTCCAAAGCGACCGAGGATGATTCGGAAGCTAAAGGTGGGAGAATTGAAAGTGGCAGACCGAGCCATATCATTCTGATATGTGTACTAATTTGCATGCGCTCCTGTTTTGTGTTGATGCGGGGCGGAACATACTTTCGATTACCGCAGCAAGACCCGGGCAACTGGACGGAGATCTCAATAGAGAGGTCAACGCGAACCTCGTTCATGCGAAGCAGGCTTAGATATGACGGACACAGCATCGCCTGCAAGTAGCTGATCCATTGTGAGCAACAAGACAGGAGGGACCAAAGCCAATGGCGAAGACAGAGCAGAAGACGAGGACGCGGCCATGTGATGAGGTGAACAACGACGGAAGGCAAGAAAGCCCCTCAAGAAAACAATCATTAGTAAGGAAATTGGAACAGGGGCGAGACAACTGCACAACTGCAATTCGGTCTGGTCTGTCTCGGAAAATTTGGCACGCGAGGAATTCGAGATAGCGCGCGCGCGTTTGCTCTACTGAGCAAAAGGCTCATGGAGAAGTTCAGCAGCAGAGTTACGTCTCGGGGCCACCAAACGCTCATGTAAAGATGAAGAGCAAGTCACCACAATATTCGGTACATAGATGGACACGCAGGAGGTCACGCACATACTAGTAGCAGTAGTGGCGATTATCAGCGTTCTGACTGACAGCGAGCGAGCGCGAGTCATCATAGGAAAATCATCAATCAAATGATAGAGACTCGAAGCAGATCAACAGTATGGGCTGAACAATGTTCCAAAATTTGCTCAAAACGGAACCAAATTTGCTGACTTGGATGACTCGGAGGTGCACGAAGTCCTCTTACCTATTACGGACGCGTGACACTGACTAAGGGAGCGCGGCTGTCTGGCTTTCCATAGTTCTGCATATATATCATTCAGCGGCAGCCTATATCCAAGTCATCCGAGCCATTAATATTGTAGGAGTTCGTAGTGGTCAGAAGTGGTCCCGGTCGAACCTACAACATTGAACTTGGCATGAATCAATGAGTCATAAACTTAGAGGAGTGCGTGCAAGGCACGTGAGCTCAGTTGAAATGTTTGGTACCGAATTGGTACCGAATTATTCCAACTTTTTCACGCTCACATTTTGGTTGCGTGGCGATCTCTAGACTCTCGCCTCACCTGGACATTCTCGATGACTCGGAGGCCATCGATGCGCGAATATTTTCGGTTAAAGCACTGCTAGAGTGCCACGTAACTCTCTTCAATTTGAGTTCGGCACTCTACTCTCGCTTCACGCAAACTCAGAATAACAAAGATATTGGATTGGTCTCTGTCAACTTTCAAGACTCATAGGTGGCTTTGCCTCCACTGCACCAGGATAGATTTTTTAACTACATCATGATGATGCTCCAGGAGACCTATCTGTTTCGTTATACAACTCTACTGATTTGTCATTCGCTGTGGAGACCTCTATACTAGCGTCAAAATTCCATACTCAGGGCTTTCCGGGATGCATCATGCAGGTTATTGACTGGGTTCGCCAAACCGAACACCATCAACATGAATCTGCCCTCGAAGCATACCAGATGTGCTTGGAGCTTTTCGACAATCATGTGTTCGCGCGATCTTCGATTATCTCAATGCTGCAACCGCTTTTCGTGGTGCTAGGTGGATGCAGCAGTTTGTCGTAACGATCTGCAACGTGTGGTCGAACTTGAGGAGCAGGGTCGTGGCCAACAATGGTCACTGGCCTCACCACTCAGGATCCCGCTGGATGACCTACAGTCTGTGAGTTACCGGTAGCTCACGAGCTCAGTAAGCGCGTGTCTGAGTTTCAGGGGTTCAACAGGCGCAGACCAAGCTGCTATTGATCGGGCAGCAACAGAGTACAAGGAACTCACAGAGCAGTGGGAGGTTGCTGTGGCTGAAGTCTGCGATCTTCAAGATTTCTTGCGCTTCCTGCTGACTCCGTCTTACGAAGGCTTGCAAGGGGCAGTGCGCCATGGTCCAGTCATAGTCCTCATTGTGAGCATATACTCGTGGAACGCCGTCATTGTCCCAGCGTCAGGGGGGCCCCACCATGTTTCCTTTCTGTCTCTTACTCTCTTGGGTCTCAAGACACTCAAAGACAACTTCGCTAGGGAGATCCGGCACGTATCTCTTTTTGGCCCAACGGAGCCGAGGACGGAGTTGCGAGTCCTCTTGCAGACAGTATGGGATGAGATCATGCTGCCCGTCATCAAGGTCCTCCAACATGATCTCGAGTTTCGGCGTCGCCCCGGAATGTGGTTGTGTCCAACAGCAGCCTTCACGTCCCTTCTTGTCCATGCAACTCACCCCTGTCGAACAAAGGCAGATCGCTATGGGCGAGAGCTATGCCTAGAGGATATTTACCTATGCTCTTACACGCCGACGCTCTCGGCTCTGATCAGAGCTCGATAGACGATGAAGATGCGTATGGCTCCATCTTTCGTGGCTATTGGACAAGGTCAGCCAGGCGCAGGGCAAGGCGAAGCGCTCGCGACTGTTGAGAGTGAGCTTGAGCTTGTACGTAAGCTTGTTCCTCCGCAGGTCAAGTTCGGTACTCTTTCAGGAGAAGAAGCCTTGCAGGCAGGTGCACTTGAAGCTTTGCGATACAACATTTAAGAGCTATGGGGTGTGCCTCCGAATCTTTTCTAACCTGCATTTACCAGCGTAAAGTTGGTAATCTGATACCAGAGCATTTATGTACGTCTATCCGACTTCACCGATATGTCACCCAAAAAGCAATGTACAAGTCAGCTGATAAACTCTATGGTCACCAGCTCACGCAATCAAATGTTTAAAAATATGGCTTATCAGAATCCTGAACTGCGAACTGGTGACCACAGACAGAGGAGTTCTCGTCCACGAAAGGGTTTTAGCTCCCACTTGTATTGCAGACCCTTATCAGTGACCGTCTTCTGGGCAACGAATCTGGCCCGACTCTTATCTCTAACTTCCCTCTCTAACTACTGTGATCTGCAGTCATGACTTCCAATGCTTTCAGTGGAGCTTTGCCTGATCTCTACGAGGCTTCAATCGCAGAACTCCAAGATGGTCTGGTACAAGGACTGTTCAGCAGCGTTCAGCTTGTAAAAGTAAGTTGCTACATGAGCACATACCTGGTACCGGCTTCACTACTGAGTAATTGCAGGCCTACCTTAGTAGAATTGAGGAAGTTAATCTCAAAGGTCCTGCATTACATGCAGTCATAGAGACCAATCCGAAAGCCTTAACACAAGCTGCGGCTCTTGACGATGAACGGAAAGAAAAGGGCAGCCGTGGGCCATTGCACGGAATACCAATATTGTTGAAAGACAATATTGCTACGTTGTACGAAGAAGGTGAGGTACTCCGCGTCACACACATGCAACACCAGTAGATTGAAATCCAGACAAGGAATGAATACTACTGCAGGTACGACCTGCGCTACTGGCTGCATCTAACAAATCCTGAATCTTTGTGGCTCCGTTCTAGGTTCCTACGCACTGCTGGGTTCTGTTGTTCCTCGAGATGCATTTGTAACAACAAAATTACGTGAGGCTGGAGCTATATTCATAGGCAAAACGAATCTGTCCGAATGGGCTGGAGCGAGATCCATTTCACTTCCTCGTGGATTCTCAGGGCGTGGGGGGCAGACTCGTTGTCCGTACTATCCGAACGCTGACCCATTTGCTTCGAGTTCCGGAAGTGGTGTTGCGATGGCTGTCGGTCTGGCAGCCGGGTCCCTTGGCACAGAAACTCGTGCCTCTATCGTAGCCCCAAGTAGTAGGAATAATATTGTGGGTATCAAGCCCACTGTCGGGCTGGTATCTCGCTCAGGCGGTAAGGCTTCTAGTTATGGTTATCAGCCGCCCCTCTGACGACGGCGAATGCTAGTGGTTCCTTACTCGTCTAATCAGGATACTCCTGGCCCGATGTGTCGCTCTGTCACTGACGCCGCCCTGTTGTTGACCTTCATCGCTGGGCCTGACCCTCGGGATGAAGCTACTTTGCGTCAGCCTGGAATAGTCCCAGACTACATGAAGGCACTCAACAAAAATGCCCTTAAGGGCACTCGTCTTGGAGTACCTCGTGCCTTTATCCGCAATATGAAGGCTATCGAGGAGACGTTCAACTCCTCCCTTGACATCTTCCGAGCTTTGGGCGCGGAAATCGTCGACCCCGCAGATTTTCCGAATGGAGAGGAACTACTAGCATCACAAGCAGAGAAGCTGGTGATGGCAGTGGACTTCAAATTTGGTATCAGCAAGTACATATCGGAATTGGTCGAAGCCCCTACAGGCGTCAAGACTCTCGCTGATCTGATAGAATTCAACAAGATCAATGCAGACCTAGAACTTCCAGGGCCATTTTACACAGATCAGTCTCGGTATGTCAGCTTGAATCACATACAATATGCTTTTACAGAAGATATGTAGATTTACGGACGCGGAAGGTACACAGGTTGATGACGCATACTTTGCAGCACTAGCTCAAAATTTCGACTTGGGACGCACGAGGGGAATTGACGCCACCCTGGCCAAGTTTAATCTTGATGCCATAATTCTACCTACCGATGTACTGGAGCCCAGACCCACAGCAATTGCGGGATATCCGTTGATTTCAGGCGAGTACTTCGTATGGTGATGCTCACGCCACTTATACCATTTGACCATTTAATATTTAGTGCCTCTTGGCTTTCAGCCAGATGGGGTTGAAGTACTGCCTGCGACGCCATCTCCACTTCACAGTCAAGCTCCGGGAATTCCTTTTGGAATCGCTTTTATGGGAACTGCATATAGCGAGTTCAAGCTCATCAGCTACGCTTATGCATTTGAGCAGGCTACCCACGTGAGACTTCAGAGGAAGGCGTACAACGATGCAATTCCGAGAACGCAGTTGGCAGGTGTTATGTGAAGGGAGGGTTGAAAGAATAATCAACGCAGAGGTGGAAATATCATCTGTGCAAGTGATAAGTAGAAAGCGTTTTTAAAGTCTGAAGGTGCCTCCTCACTTAATTGGAGGGTTGTTGTGAGGACAGTCGCCTCGAGTCGTGCGTCAAGAATGCCCTTGATGTTATTTTTGCCTCCTAGACTGCGAAACAATAATAGTATTCCATGCAATGGCCCGCAGCTGCCTGTCTTTCCGTTCATCAAGGGCTGCAGTCTGCGATAAGGTTATTGGATTAGTCTCGATGACCGCATGGGCAAGAGGCGGACACTGGGAGCGCTAACGCCGCTCTTTCTGGGGCACCTGGTATCCTTCGTCACGGTCGTGGGATACTCATCCTTCACAAGCACACTTCGCCGTACAGATTTTCCGCACCCGACCAACGAACTAAAAAATCGTATGCAATTGTTTAGGCTGGGGCCGCATGCGAAACATCACATTCTTAAAGCTCTGTGACCAACAAGGTTCGTACAAACTTTGTGGCCAAGTATCAAAGCTAATAGATGAGCCCGTTGGGGCCTACATTCTATCATCATCCCCGTCATCACTGAAAACTACATCAATTTTTCAGCCATCGTCCGCGCAATCATTGCAGAATACGTATAAGTAATGCGAATGCAGGCAAGATGTATGGCACTCCCACCCGGACCACCTTTCGTACGAAATTCGCTGCAGCTCGTTCATGGTCAACTTATAATAGGTGGGGAGAGAGAGATGGTTAGTTAATTCCGCCTTTTCGTCAACTCAGTCTCGAATTCCAGGTGATATTGTACACTCACGCCTTTTTGATCAGCGCCTCATCGTCACCTCCGAGAAAGTTTCCGGGACCCCTGTAGACAGACGCTTGGCGATATGTTCTGTTCGTCCTTTCATTGCTACAAACGAGCGATGAGTTAGGATTACGTCTATGACGGTCTATCGATCACTTCGGACCAAGCGTGAACAAATCCTTACGGATGGAAATCGCAGACCTCGTGTTCCTACTGGCGATACTTCTTTAGCTGGAAGTCTAGAGTCATGCTAGAGCAGCGATCGACGCAGTATGCGGACACGACGAAATTCCAAGATAGAAAGTTACTGCCGTAATGTCAATTCTGCCTCCTAGGTTCCTATGCACTGCTGGGTTCTGTGATTCCTCGAGACGCATTTGTAGCAGCCGTGCAGCTAGAGCTATCATATTCATAGGCTAAGCGAATTTCTCAGATGGCCAAGGTAGTCGAGGAAGACATTCAACTCCTTTCTTGACGTCATACACCAACGCCCTACCCTCACAACACAAAAATACAATTTTTATCTAGCCAGGCCAACTGAAGGAAGACGGTGTTCCTTCCATCACAGTGCTACGTCTGTACCCGTATTGAAAAAATTGCATCTTGGTGGAAAACCAACGTCGGAGTCTATCTCTGTCTCTTCATGATGCAACATAGTGTACATTAACAGCATCATACCTGGAGAGTGCACTTTCTTTTGAAATTTGGATCTCCAAAGCCTCGGCTGCCAGTATCTGGTTTCGCGTTCCCCGATGCGTGATGAGACTCTGAAGTTTTGTCAGCATCCATAAGACGCCTGGATTCGGCCTCTGCTAGGATCCTTTCGTGTCGCCTGGTAACGTAGGCCAAACAGTTTGGAATTGCACGTTACCATCATGTCCTAAGATTCTTCTGCCTTGCAATAAAATACAGGGGATCGTCCAAGTTAAATGCAAGGTCTGTTGTCAATTTGCTGGCATTTCAAATGACACCTGTTTTAAGGTGGATTTCAGGGGGGTAGGGTCTGGACTCTGCACAGAATACATAAAGCAAGCCATCTTCCTACCGTCTCCCTTCAGATTTATTTCCGAGGTCCTATATGATTTGCAAGACTTCCAGTCGCGCTTTGCCTGATCTTTACGAGGCTTCGATCGCAGAACTCCAAGATGGCCTAGTAGAAGGATACTTCAGTAGTGTTCAGCTTGTGGAGGTAAGTTGCTGCTTCGGCAGATGCCTCATACAGCCCTTACTCAAGTTATCGCAGGCCTACCTGCGTAGAATTGTGGAAGTTAATTTGGAAGGCCCTGCATTACATGCAATCATCGAGACCAATCTGAAAGCCTTATCACAAGCTGCGGCCCTTGACGATGAACGGAAAGTCAAAGGTAGCCGTGGGCCTTTGCATGGGATACCTTTGTTATTGAAAGATAACATTGCTACGCTGCACGAAGAAGGTGAGATTCGTTGTGTCACATACCTATAATACCAGTAAATTTGGCACTGAGCTCGAGTTAGGAATGAATACGACTGCAGGTACGGACATGCTGCACGACTGCTTTCCGTCTTGTATATCATAATATTTACTCTACCCTAGGTTCCAACGCGCTGCTGGATTCTGTTGTTCCGCGAGATTCGTTTGTTGCGGCGAAATTACGTGAAGCTGGAGCTGTATTCATAGGCAAAGCAAACCTCTCCGATTGGGCTGGTATGAGGGGACAAGTTCCCTATGGATTCTCGGGGCGTGGAGGGCAAACACTTTGTCCTTACTACCCGAATGCTGACCCACACGGTTCAAGCTCCGGAAGTGGCGTTGCAATCGCTATTGGTCTAGCAGCCGGGTCTCTTGGTACAGAAACTAATGGTTCTATTGTTTACCCGAGTAGCAGGAATAATGTTGTGGGTATCAAGCCAACTGTCGGGCTGGTATCTCGTTCAGGTGGTAAGATTTCTAGCGATAAACATCGAGTGATTCTCTGACGACGAATACTAGTGATACCCATCTCCTCCCATCAAGATACTGCTGGCCCAATGTGTCGGTCTGTCGCTGATGCAACCCTGCTATTAAACTCCATTGCTGGGCCAGATCCTCGAGACGAAGCTACTTTGCATCAGCCCGGAGTAATCCCAAACTACATGAAAGCGCTCGACAAAAATGCCCTTAAAGGCGCTCGTCTTGGAGTACCTCGTGCCTTCATCCGCAATGTCAACACAATTGAAGCGACGTTCAACTCCTCTCTTGACATTTTCCGAGCTTTGGGCGCGGAAATCGTCGACCATGCAGACTTTCCAGCCACAGAAGAACTATTAACATCGAAAGCGGAGCAGTTGGTCTTAGCCGTGGATTTCAAGATTGACGTCAACAAGTACATATCAGAGTTGGTCGAAGTCCCGACAGGCGTGAAGGCGCTCGCTGATCTGATAGAATTTAACAAGACCCATGCGGATCAAGAACTGCCAGCGCCGTTTTACACAGATCAATCCCAGTATGTCAGCTCGCATCTTCAATGCACGTTAACAAAAGATATATAGATTCATCAAATCGGAAGCTGCACAGGTTGATGACGCCTACTTTGCGGCGCTGGCGAAGGACTTCGACTTGGGGCGCACGAGAGGAATTGACGCTACCCTGGCCCAGTTCAATCTCGATGCCATAATTCTACCAACCGATGCCCTAGCGCCCCTACCCGCAGCAATTGCAGGGTATCCATTGATTTCAGGTTAGTACTTTCCACGGCAATCTTAGCGTCCCTTACGCTTTTCAACATTCAGTACCCCTCGGCTTTCAGGCAGATGATGTCGAAGTGCTTCCTGAGACGCCATCACCACTTCACAGTCAAGCCCCGGGACTTCCTTTTGGAATATCTTTTATGGGCACCGCGTATAGCGAGTTTAAGCTCATCGGCTACGCGTATGCGTTTGAGCAGGCTACCCAGGTGAGGCTTAAGAGAAGGGTATATGAGGATGCGATTCCTAGGACGCAGTTAACTGATATCGTGTCTCGGTGAAGGTGGTTTATGAATTACGCACAGGGAATAAGCCATTTTGCACATATGACACCTTGAATCGAGTGAAATGTTTCGCAATGCATGCAACCCGTAATCAAATCCTCATGCCCCAGCACTCCATCCTTTGAACATTGTCCCTTGTGATGTCAAGACTTCTCGTCGTATTCCAAATCTCAAGATCTTCGTCCAGTAGCTAGGACTTGCGTGAAGACTATCCAGGACACTGGAGTTTTGTTAACGCACCTCGAATGCTTCGTCTCTACTTGTCATTTGCAGACACCGCGCATGGAGGTACGGGGGCACCACAGGATCTACCAATGAGTCCAATAACTGTACCAGTATAGATGCAATGGTAGTCGCAAGCGGACCGTGCTCTTCTCCAGACTGGAGGCATGGAAAATGATCTCCTGTGTCGAGACACTGAACAATTATTAATACATGCATGAATATCAAAGATGACTCGCAAATACCTCTCTGATGTCCATGTATATACTCTCTTCAAGAGAAGCATTAAATAAATCATTCTACTAGTAGAGCGCTGTTAAAACATGCCGTCAGAAAATCTTTATGGCACGAACTGGATCAATGACATGGGTCATCAACCAATCGATCAACGTCATGATCTCCCTCGGGGCGTTCACTGGCTGCCGTGCAGGCACCCAGTCGTTCGGGGACTTCATAGTTCGCACGGGACCGGGAAGTCGTGTAAGTAACTTGGAGTGCGTGCAAGGCTCTGTAAGCACGTGAGCTCAGTTGAAATGGTTGGTACCGAGCGAACCCAACTTTTTCACGCTCGCATTTTGGTTGCGTGGCGATCTCTAGACTCTCGCCTGGACAATCTCAACGAGGCCATCAATCTGTAGCGCGAATATCTTCGGTTAAAGCACTGCTAGAGTGCCATGTAACCCTCTTCAACTTGAGTTCGGCACTCTGCTCTCGTTTCACGCAAACTCAGAATAACGAAGGTATTGGATTGGTCCCTGTCAAGTGTAAGAACCGGAGTGGCTCTTGCTGCGAGTTCGAAGGGGCGTGCAGACCAGTAGTGCGATGCTGATACGCTGTAGAGCTAGATTAGCGTTAACGAATGATAATGATCGAGACGAGTCTGATATGAATAAACAATTGATATAATATAGCGATGCGGTTTAGATAACGAATGCGAGAGCGAGACTTGAAGACTGGTTATGATTGCCTGCAGTAGTGAGTGTACATGGGCTACTTTTATACTGCGAAATGCTAAGGGTCCTCGGGTATGGATAGGCCGAACAATTAGGTGAAAACGGATGCTGAGGGGAGTGGCGTCGCTCCTGACAGGGTAGAGTAGACAGAAAGGAAAGAGAGTACGAAAGGATTGAGTGAGTAGCAATATAAAAGGGTATGGTATTGACAGATTCGGGAGCGGCGAACTGATAGTGAGGTGACAGTGATGAAATAGGGAGCTGAGGGTCGGCAATGACGAGGCGCTGAAATGGAGGTGAGGTCCGTGCTGACTGACTTTGGCAGTGTGCCACTGCGCTGAGGGTAAGCGTCAAAACGGCACTTTCCGGCGTTAAACGGTTTGTAATCACTACGTAAGACTTATAGGTGGCTTTGCCTCCACTGCACCCGGATAGATTTTTTAACTACATCATGATGATGTTTCAGGAGACCTATCTGTTTCGTTATACAACTCTACTGATTTGTCATTCGCTGTGGAGACCTTTATACTAGCGTCAAAATTCCATACTCAGGGCTTTCCAGGATGCATCATGCAGGTTTTTGACTGGGCTCGCCAAGCCGAACACCATCAACATGAATCTGCCCTCGAAGCATACTAGATGTGCTTGGAGCTTTTCGACAATCATGTGTTCGTGCGATCTTCGATTATCTCAATGCTGCAACCGCTTTTCGTGGTGCTAGGTGGATGCAGTATCATGTGCCGTTTTTCGTAACGATCTGCAACGTGTGGTCGAACTTGAGGAGCAGGGTCGTGGCCAACAATGGTCACTGGCCTCTCCACTCAGGACCCCGCTGGATGATCTACAGTTCGCGAGTCTGCCGGTAGCTCACAAACTTTCGGAGTTCAGCAAGCGCGTGTCTGAGTTTCAGGGGTTCAACAGGTGCAGACCAAGCTGCTATTGATCGTGCAATAATAGAGTACAAGGAACTCACAGAGCAGTGGGAGATGGCTGTGGCTGAAGTCTGCGATCTTCAAGGTTTCTTGCGCTTCCTGCTGACACCGTCTTACGAAGGCTTCCAAGCGGCAGCGCGCCATGGTCCAGTCATAATCCTCATTGTGAGCATATACTCGTGGAACGCCGTCATTGTCCCAGCGTCAGGGGAGCCCCACCATGTTTCCTTTCTGTCTCTTACTCTCTTGGATCTCAAGACACTCAAAGACAACTTCGCTAGGGAGATCCGGCACGTATCTCTTTTTGGCCCAACGGAGCCGAGGACGGAGTTGCGAGTCCTCTTGCAGACAGTATGGGATGAGATCATGCTGCCCATCGTCAAGGTCCTCCAACATGATCTCGAGTTTCGGCGTCGCCCCTGAATGTGGTTGTGTCCAACGGCAGCCTTCACGTCCCTTCCTTTCCATGCAACTCACCCCTGTCGAACAAAGGCAGATCGCTATGGGCGAGAACTATGCCTAGAGGATATCTACATATGCTCTTACACGCCGACGCTCTCGATGACCGCACGGGCAAGAAGCGGATACTGAGCGCTAACGCCGCTCTTTCTGGGGCACCATCCCGCGTGCGGTACTGATTCTTCACAAGCACACTTCGCCGTACACGCTTTCCTTTTTCGCGCGCACCCGACCAACGAACTGAAATTTCGTATGCAATTGTTTAGGCTGGGGCCGCATGCGAAACATTACGTTCTCGAAGCTCTGACGGTTTATACAAACATTGAGGCCAGGTAAGTATCAAAGCTAACAGATCAATGAGCTTGCTGAGACCTGCATTCCATCACTATCCCCGTCATCATTGAAAACTACATCATTTTTTCAGAGGACGTATAAGTAATGTAAATGCAGGCGAACAGTGGTATGGCACTCCCACCCGGACCGCCTTTCGTACGAAATGTGCTGCAGGTCGTCCATGGGTTAACTTATACTAGGTGGGGAAAGCAACACTAGTTAGTTCTGCCTTGGTCACTCACTGTAACTCAATCCCGAATTCCATGTGAAGTTGTACACTCACGTCTTTTTGGTTAGCACTTCATCGCCGCCTCCGAGAAAGTTTCCGAGACCATTGTAGACAAAGGCTCAACGATATATTGTGACCGTCCCCTCGTTGCTACAAACGAGCGGTGAGTGAGCGGTGAGTTGGGATTAGGTCTATCAATCACATGACTGAGCGTGGACAGATTCTTACGGATGGAAATTGCAGACCTCGTGTTCCTACTTCTTTACCTGGAAGCCTGGAGTCGTGCTAGAGCAGCAATTGATGCAGTATGCAGACACGACGAAATTCCAACTTTCAAGATAAAGTCACTGCCGTAATGTCAATTCTGCTTCCTAGGTTCCTACACACTGCTGGGTTCTGTAATCCTCGAGACGCGTCTGTCGCAGTCGTGCAGCTGGAGCTATATTCATAGGCTGAGCGAACTTCTCCGATGTGTAAGGTAATTGAGAAAGACATTCGACTCCTTTCTTGACGTCATGCACCAACGCCCTACCCTCACAACGCGAAAATACAATCTCACCTAGCCAGATCAACTGATGGAAGACGGTGTTCCTTCCATCACGTACATCGTGTCTAGTGCCACGTCTGTACCCGTTGTGAAAAATTTGCATCTTGGTGGAAAACCAATGTCGGAGTCTATCTTTGTTTCTTAATGATGCTACATAGTGTACATTAACAACATCATACCTGGAGAGTGCACTTTCTTTTGGAATTTGGATCTCCAAAGCCTCAGCTGCCAGTATCTGGTTTCGCGTTCCCCGATGCGTGATGAGACTCTGAAGTTTTGTCAGCATCCATAAGACGCCTGAATTCGGCCTCTGCTAGGATCCTTTCGTGTCGCCTGGTAACGTAGGCCCAACAGCTTGGAATTACACGTTACCATCATGTCCTAAGATTCTTCTGCCTTGCAATAAAATACCGGGGATCGTCCAAGTTAAATTCAAGGTCCGTTGGCAATTTGCTGACATTGCAAATGACACCTGTTTGAAGGTGGATTTCAGGGGGGTAGGGTCCGCACATAATACATAAAAGCAAGCCATCTTCCTACCGTCCTCCTTCAGATTTATTTCCGAGATCCCATATCACAACTTACAAACAATGCGTCTCGCCTTCCAAGTCATCCTCTCCGTTGTTGCTGCTTTGACAGTGTCTATGGCTGTTAATGCTGACAGTGAATGCCAAGCGCCTGGCGACTTTTGCGACTCGACTACGAATAATTGCTGCTCTGGCTATCAATGCACGTTAGAATTCATCGACCAATACGTGAGTATGAGTAGTTTCATCCAGGATTTATTGGCTCACCGGCGTGATAGTTTGACTTTGTATATGTATGCGTGTGAGGTCAGATGAGCTACAGCCTGAGTGAGTCGTGTTTCTGCTTCCCCATTAGTGCCGCAGTGTGGTTGACGGCACCATTGTGATTCGTGACACGTATGTAGGTCGTCGCACAATGCGGAGTGCTTCTTAACAAATGTTACTGCTGCTTGAGTAACGAAGACCTTGAAGCAGAGGAAAGGAGTGGAATTCAGAAGGTGGATGATCCGGCGGAGTGGGGGATTGGCGGCGAGCCCGATAAGTATAAGCGAAGAGACAGGGACACGTACCGTATTACTACTTACTCGCAACAATCTCGCATGAGGTCTGTAGCTGAGGTAGCTAGCCACATCTACGGACATTCAACTGTTGCACTGGTTATTATGACCCAAATCTGAGTCCTTGGTAAAGGAATAGCTCCTAAATTTGTAGTTGCTGTAACCGTGACTGGTCACTGCACGGACTGGTTCGTGGTCCGATACACGGACTCGGATTGGCTCGACAGAATCAAATTGCCCCGCTCGGCAACAGTCGGCAACCGCCAGTTCGTTTTTTGCGAGTCAGTTCAATAGAATCGATCTCAGATAAGTCTCCCGGGCCGGGGGCCTTGCGGCCCAAGTTCCTTCAAAGTTTGCTGTCCACGTTTTTCAACAGGCATGAAGAGGTGTGTGCTGTCCGAGAATTTGCTGACCAGCACTGATCGAATTGGAGCAGCAAAAGGTGTATGGTACTTCAATGCAATCGTGTTCATTTGTGTTCGTCATTGCCAGTTATAACTTGTTGCCAGCTGGCCGTAAATGCGTTACCGGGACAGCCTAACTTGAGTTCATCAACTTGCAAAGTATAGGTGAACTGATATCAACCCTGTGGTACAAGGCTAGCGCACATTAATGTCTAAAAATATGTTTATCGGCCGTGGTGGACTTAGAATTCAGATGTACAACACAGTTTAAGATATCACTAGCGATGCAGACTCTTATCTTTGACCATCTCCCCGCAACGACAAACCTGGACCTAGTTCTCTACTGGGATATACTGCATGATTTGCAAGACTTCCAGTCGCGCTTTGCCTGATCTTTACGAGGCTTCGATCGCAGAACTCCAAGATGGCCTAGTAGAAGGATACTTCAGTAGTGTTCAGCTTGTGGAGGTAAGTTGCTGCTTCGGCAGATGCCTCATACAGCCCTTACTCAAGTTATCGCAGGCCTACCTGCGTAGAATTGTAGAAGTTAATTTGGAAGGCCCTGCATTACATGCAATCATCGAGACCAATCTGAAAGCCTTATCACAAGCTGCGGCCCTTGACGATGAACGGAAAGTCAAAGGTAGC